CATCATAGTATAGCATGTCATCCAAAATCATCAAAAAAAAAGTCATAGTATAGCATGTCGTCCAAAATCGTCAAAAAAGTCATAGTATAGCATGTCGTCCAAAATCATCAAAAAAAAGTCATAGTATAGCATCTCGTCCAAAATCGTCAAAAAAAGTCATAGTATAGCATGTCGTCCAAAATCGTCAAAAAAGGTAATAGTATAGCATGTCGTCCAAAATCGTCAAAAAAAGTCATAGTATAGCATGTCGTCCAAAATCGTCAAAAAAAGTCATAGTATAGCATGTCGTCCAAAATCGTCAAAAAAAGTCATAGTATAGCATGTCGTCCAAAATCGTCAAAAAAAGTCATAGTATAGCATGTCGTCCAAAATCGTCAAAAAAAGTCATAGTATAGCATCTCGTCCAAAATCGTCAAAAAAATCATAGTATAGCATGTCGTCCAAAATCATGAAAAAAAGTCATAGTATAGCATGTCGTCCAAAATCATGAAAAAAAGTCATAGTATAGCATGTCGTCCAAAATCATGAAAAAAAGTCATAGTATAGCATGTCGTCCAAAATCATGAAAAAAAGTCATAGTATAGCATGTCGTCCAAAATCATGAAAAAAAGTCATAGTATAGCATGTCGTCCAAAATCATGAAAAAAAGTCATAGTATAGCATGTCGTCCAAAATCATGAAAAAAAGTCATAGTATAGCATGTCGTCCAAAATCATGAAAAAAAGTCATAGTATAGCATGTCGTCCAAAATCATGAAAAAAAGTCATAGTATAGCATGTCGTCCAAAATCATGAAAAAAAGTCATAGTATAGCATGTCGTCCAAAATCATGAAAAAAAGTCATAGTATAGCATGTCGTCCAAAATCATGAAAAAAAGTCATAGTATAGCATGTCGTCCAAAATCATGAAAAAAAGTCATAGTATAGCATGTCGTCCAAAATCATGAAAAAAAGTCATAGTATAGCATGTCGTCCAAAATCATGAAAAAAAGTCATAGTATAGCATGTCGTCCAAAATCATGAAAAAAAGTCATAGTATAGCATGTCGTCCAAAATCATGAAAAAAAGTCATAGTATAGCATGTCGTCCAAAATCATGAAAAAAAGTCATAGTATAGCATGTCGTCCAAAATCATGAAAAAAAGTCATAGTATAGCATGTCGTCCAAAATCATGAAAAAAAGTCATAGTATAGCATGTCGTCCAAAATCATGAAAAAAAGTCATAGTATAGCATGTCGTCCAAAATCATGAAAAAAAGTCATAGTATAGCATGTCGTCCAAAATCATGAAAAAAAGTCATAGTATAGCATGTCGTCCAAAATCATGAAAAAAAGTCATAGTATAGCATGTCGTCCAAAATCATGAAAAAAAGTCATAGTATAGCATGTCGTCCAAAATCATGAAAAAAAGTCATAGTATAGCATGTCGTCCAAAATCATGAAAAAAAGTCATAGTATAGCATGTCGTCCAAAATCATGAAAAAAAGTCATAGTATAGCATGTCGTCCAAAATCATGAAAAAAAGTCATAGTATAGCATGTCGTCCAAAATCATGAAAAAAAGTCATAGTATAGCATGTCGTCCAAAATCATGAAAAAAAGTCATAGTATAGCATGTCGTCCAAAATCATGAAAAAAAGTCATAGTATAGCATGTCGTCCAAAATCATGAAAAAAAGTCATAGTATAGCATGTCGTCCAAAATCATGAAAAAAAGTCATAGTATAGCATGTCGTCCAAAATCATGAAAAAAAGTCATAGTATAGCATGTCGTCCAAAATCATGAAAAAAAGTCATAGTATAGCATGTCGTCCAAAATCATGAAAAAAAGTCATAGTATAGCATGTCGTCCAAAATCATGAAAAAAAGTCATAGTATAGCATGTCGTCCAAAATCATGAAAAAAAGTCATAGTATAGCATGTCGTCCAAAATCATGAAAAAAAGTCATAGTATAGCATGTCGTCCAAAATCATGAAAAAAAGTCATAGTATAGCATGTCGTCCAAAATCATGAAAAAAAGTCATAGTATAGCATGTCGTCCAAAATCATGAAAAAAAGTCATAGTATAGCATGTCGTCCAAAATCATGAAAAAAAGTCATAGTATAGCATGTCGTCCAAAATCATGAAAAAAAGTCATAGTATAGCATGTCGTCCAAAATCATGAAAAAAAGTCATAGTATAGCATGTCGTCCAAAATCATGAAAAAAAGTCATAGTATAGCATGTCGTCCAAAATCATGAAAAAAAGTCATAGTATAGCATGTCGTCCAAAATCATGAAAAAAAGTCATAGTATAGCATGTCGTCCAAAATCATGAAAAAAAGTCATAGTATAGCATGTCGTCCAAAATCATGAAAAAAAGTCATAGTATAGCATGTCGTCCAAAATCATGAAAAAAAGTCATAGTATAGCATGTCGTCCAAAATCATGAAAAAAAGTCATAGTATAGCATGTCGTCCAAAATCATGAAAAAAAGTCATAGTATAGCATGTCGTCCAAAATCATGAAAAAAAGTCATAGTATAGCATGTCGTCCAAAATCATGAAAAAAAGTCATAGTATAGCATGTCGTCCAAAATCATGAAAAAAAGTCATAGTATAGCATGTCGTCCAAAATCATGAAAAAAAGTCATAGTATAGCATGTCGTCCAAAATCATGAAAAAAAGTCATAGTATAGCATGTCGTCCAAAATCATGAAAAAAAGTCATAGTATAGCATGTCGTCCAAAATCATGAAAAAAAGTCATAGTATAGCATGTCGTCCAAAATCATGAAAAAAAGTCATAGTATAGCATGTCGTCCAAAATCATGAAAAAAAGTCATAGTATAGCATGTCGTCCAAAATCATGAAAAAAAGTCATAGTATAGCATGTCGTCCAAAATCATGAAAAAAAGTCATAGTATAGCATGTCGTCCAAAATCATGAAAAAAAGTCATAGTATAGCATGTCGTCCAAAATCATGAAAAAAAGTCATAGTATAGCATGTCGTCCAAAATCATGAAAAAAAGTCATAGTATAGCATGTCGTCCAAAATCATGAAAAAAAGTCATAGTATAGCATGTCGTCCAAAATCATGAAAAAAAGTCATAGTATAGCATGTCGTCCAAAATCATGAAAAAAAGTCATAGTATAGCATGTCGTCCAAAATCATGAAAAAAAGTCATAGTATAGCATGTCGTCCAAAATCATGAAAAAAAGTCATAGTATAGCATGTCGTCCAAAATCATGAAAAAAAGTCATAGTATAGCATGTCGTCCAAAATCATGAAAAAAAGTCATAGTATAGCATGTCGTCCAAAATCATGAAAAAAAGTCATAGTATAGCATGTCGTCCAAAATCATGAAAAAAAGTCATAGTATAGCATGTCGTCCAAAATCATGAAAAAAAGTCATAGTATAGCATGTCGTCCAAAATCATGAAAAAAAGTCATAGTATAGCATGTCGTCCAAAATCATGAAAAAACGTCATAGTATAGCATGTCGTCCAAAATCATGAAAAAACGTCATAGTATAGCATGTCATAAGAAATGTCATAGCTGTGTCTCGATTGATCTATCTGATGATCCAGCTGTGAAGATCCACTGCATTTCTTCATCCACTGCCGTCACTGCGTGACAAATCATCATTTCTGACACGGTTGATTCTGATCTGCCATCTTGTCAGACTGATCAGGAGTTGTTGGTGAAATTGGACTTGTCATCAATGACAGCCAATCAGGAGCCAAGAATTCAGTTTTATTTCCATTTCAATGAAACTCAAACACAGAGAGTATTCTCATTCACACGAACATCATTGTGTCTGATGTTCACTGTGTTTCTGTTTCTTGCACATGATCATTGACATTCACATGAATTATTTTTTCTCTTACACATGACTCTGTTTCAGATCTAATAATACTCTCTCATACATATGTCAGACCTTTGTTGTACACACACTGTGATCTGCATTTACATATACTACCACACCATGTTACACAGGATATCATGCAGGCATATGTTATGTGTACACGTTTGTGCAAGAACGTTTTTTAGAACCAAAAATTAAGAATTCAAATCATTTCAAATGGCCGAGGGCTCGACTGCAAAAATCTGATTTTTTATTTTTTTATTGGGTCACTTTTATTTATATGTTATTTATATTGCTATTCACAGTGTAATATCTATAATGTGCCGTCCAGTGGTGTAAAAACAACTCCTACATTCAAATATAGCTTTTTCCATCCTTCTGCCCATGCATATACATATA